TATAAACTCTAATCATCAGCAGCGATGAAACAGTGAATTGATATAATGGAATATTATTGATTTAAAATGGAAGTATTGAAAAGATGATTATTTCAAAACTTCCAAAGGGGGGAAATGTAACCAGGGTGATGGAATCAATCAACCATGGATGCTGCTATACTGCTTGTACAGCCCTACCCAACTGGACAAGAAGTCTGGGAACATTGAGTATATAAATCAGTGTTTTCTTTGATCTGTATTTTAATCTTTAGGTAATCATTAATACAAACGAAACACTAGACAATTCATTTCTGCCAGAAGAGGATGATGGAGTGTGATTTTGCATAGTGGACTGAAAAAAATGGCCAGGACTGCCAAGATTAAGAGCCGAACAGGTAAAAGTAATTCCGGCAGGGGGAGATCGCGACCACCGACTCACGGACCACCTACCCAAGTGATACCACCTACTCAGAGAGAACAATGGAAAAGGACAACTGAGTCTGCGCAATAATTTACATGTGAAGCGAGCAAATTTGTACCAATCACCAAAGAGTGTAATATTGAATATGTATGAATAAAATAAATAGGTATATACTTGATCTATATAAATCATATGGAAAGGGTGTAAGGCATGCACGTTAGGTGGAGCGATCCCCCGTGCATCTGGCGCCGCGAATAAAGAATGCCGGCCTTTTAACACTACATTGGTGTTACAAGGTTTATTCCCAATTTCGGTGACACTCCTGTATGTTTGAAGTGAGTCTCCCAAACATCCTTTTTGTATATTTGAGCTCTACAACTCTAACTCCTCTATCTCGGGTTTACAGGACTCCCACTTATTTCTTAACCTTCACTAGCAAATCCAAAAGCAGCTCAGCTCATGTGATGACTTGCCCTTCCAGAAAGTGCAGCAAATAACATCACAACAGCACATACAGAGTTCCCAAAATACAGCAACACAGAGTCCTTAAGTTTAATTTGGTCACATTAACTCAAAGGTTGTCTCTGCCAACTTGCTCAACATTCCTTTCCCGTACAAATATGCATCACCTCCCTGGGAACATACCTTAGCTGCCCTTTACCAGACTAAAGGAAAACATCACCACTAAAATCTGGCATCCAGGCCTGGAAGTTCTGAGAGTACAACAGCACTTCTCTTGCAAAAAGCCCCTTTCAAGCTCCCATCCAGGTTAGACCTATTTGGTAATATCTTCATGCCTACATCCTCCCTTTCTATTCACAACTGCATGAACTAAACCATATGGTAAGGAATCTGCTACACACATTGTTCACAAAAATAAATTCTCAAAAGTTCCTAGGCAATTAGGACACATTTAGTGTTTTGTAACACTTTGATTAAAATGTTTTGAAGAGCAATCACTTACCTCTATTCATTCAAATGAAGGTGCTAAGAGCTGTCAAAAGCAAAGCTAAGGTATACTTTACACTGTTTCTCCAATAAACCTCATGCTTAATATTTTATGTACAAAATGAATGGAGGAATTCTGAAGTGTAAACTGAAAGCAATAGGCAATCTCAGCTTCTGAGGTTCCCTTCATTTAGAAAAGAAACCTTGTATTTGTGTACAGATAGAATCAACAAATCCAATTGCTCTTTACTAAAGCAAATGTCCCCATTAACCACTTGAAGCAGAACAACTTATTTGTAAGAAAGCATTTTAAGTGTTTATAAGTGTCTTGACAACTCTAAAGACAATTGATATGTCTCTTTTGAAGCAACTGCAAAATTAGCAATTAATCCAATCAAGCCATAATTTGAAGAGGGGAGAAAAGAATAGGAAGAAAACTATCTTAGATTCCAGTCAATAGACTTTTGGGGATTTTAATGAAAAAAGGTTTTTTCCTCCTAAAGTTAACGATATGGCATCATAACAACTAATCTTTCAAGTTTCATTTCTACTTTAAAGATGTATTTAAAAGCTCAACAAGATAAAACGGATCTTACTTTTGAAAAAAAGTAAACATTTGGTGAGCATTTCAACATTCCAAACTTCTTTCCCATCCCTACCACTGCTCTAACAGCAAGCACAGAACAAATCACTAAAACTTTGTAAGCACAAGCACTGCACAGTTGAATATAACCTTACAGGTGAAAGGCTTTAATAGGCTTCAAGGAGAAGGAATGTTATACACAGTAGTATCAACAAAGCTGATTTGGAAGGTAAAATAAAAACAGACAGGTTTGGTTTGGTTTTGGTTTTTTAATTCTTCACCAGTCAGGCCATTGCACACTGAATCACATGACAAGCAATTTAGAGCTTTGAATGGTGAAAAAAAAGCCATTTTCTGTAGTTTGATTAAAAAGTGCTAGAGCTTTTTACGGCAGAGCTTTTTACACAGCAAGTCCAGAGAGCGTTGAGTTGCCTTTCCAAAAGGGGTCCAGCTCACACAAATCATCACTGTAAACTTCCAGACTTCTCTTCACCGGGTGCAGTTCGGTGAGAGCAGTGGAACAAATCTAATTGCCTGCTGCCACCGCAGTGGCAGTCACTGGCTCTGCTTGGTTCATTTTCTGCCACTGAAGGTCTGAATCAGCTTGCTGCAATTCCCCCTTTCAACAAGAAGCTGTTAACTGGCTCAGCTGCCTTCTCATCAAAACATACCCTCAAGCTCTCACTTGAGCTTAGAGTGCTACACTCTATGAGACAGGTAACATCAGCCACATGGAAAAGGCAATAAGGGGGCTTGAGGGTGAAACAGGTGAACTGTCAGTCTGGCTCTCAAAAACTGGTGAGAAGCCCAGGCTACCTATGTTGCAAGAGATCCACCATCACATCACCATTTCGAGCTTTGGGGCAGATGAATAATTGTATGCTCGCTCTCTCAAAGATTTCTTTTAGTACTGTCAAGACTAGACTTCATTAAGAGTCAAAACTAACCTATGCTTTAAACAGAAAAAAGATGTACTACCACAGAGAAAATACATAAGTATCAAGGGAAATGGAAAGTTAACTAGAAAAATAGAATAAACTATCTTGAGCTCTTACTAACAACAAGTATATCCACACACAAGCTCAGTTTGTACTGCTGCTAACCCACAGGGCTGTCCTTTAATTGCTCTGCTGTTTCAGATTACAGCACAAGGCTGACCACTTGGTACAACTGGAGCAAAACACACTTTGCTCTCCACTCTACTCAGCTGCCATTCCTCAAGGTTTCTGGCATAAAACCTAACAATTTGTAGCATAAATAAACAACAACAACAAAAAATGTATTGACTCTAAAACTCTTACTTATGCTCTTTTCAAAACAGTCAAAGCTTACTTTGTCATCCCTCTTCTTGACTCTCTCCTTAGACAAAACCAAAAAAAACAATCGCTGTGTAGTATGATAAAGATGAAATCCATTTGTTCTTGCAGCATGCATTGCTATGCCTTATCCCACAGGGGGCAGGAAAAAAAAGGGGGGGGAGGGGGAACAGTCCACATATTTCAATCATAGCACAAAAGAATTTTAATTTGGCTTAAACTCAGTTGCATAAAATGCAAGATTTTATAAAGGCAAAAATAAGCCATTTGATATACAGCTCAAGAAACATGGAGCGTATCTGCAAATATTCTGTATCCTATGTTTTTCCAACATGAGAAAACAAACAGTTATTACGGTCTTCCCTTTTTCCTTTTTTAGGTTATCAAGGAAGCATGACAAACCTATTGTACTTACTAATCCATAAGAACCAATGTCTTGGAAAAGCTTTCAAACCATTGCTTGCTATGATGCAAGGAAAATCCTTGGTCTCTAGCAATAGAGACTTCCTACAAGAGCAGCAGCATTCTTCTCCGAGTCAGACTGTACTGCCCACAGCACTGTATTCTCCATCCCACTCTTCCTTCTTGACTGGATCTCATCACTGCTCCATCTCTTATTAAAAACCCCCAAAACCCAAAAGAGCATGATCCTTAAATACCTTAAGGATTCATTCACAATCACTTTGAAATTCTAAACCAATTACAGCCTTGTACTATTGAAGGCTCTGAGATGACATCTGTGGATAACAGTTCTTTTTGCTTAACTTTTTCCCAAAAAACCCAATACAGATTAGAGATCAAACAGACCCAAAACTTCTAAAGCACCTTTTAGCTGTTTACCAGCAGCAGCGCAGAAGTAGTGAAGTTGGAAATGATCATAAAGGATTTTCAAAAATGGTTGTTGCTGCTCACGTACTACAGTAGATATCAGCATGATCTTTACAATTAAAGAAGCAAATGTTTTTTCTCAATTTGCAATTTAAATTTAGTGAATGTAATTATATATTAATGATGATGCTGAAAGGAAATTGTGGCATATAATTTCTTACCTACTGCCCTTAAGATTTCGAGCACAAAATATAAACACATTTAATAATGTAATGTTTCATTTTACTGCAGCAGCAGCAAAAGCTATTTCAAGTCTTTTACCCCATCATGAACTTAATTCGAGAAAAAAAAACAGCTAAAGGGAAAAATAATGCCATGAATTGAAGAAAATAACTTATTTTATTTTAGTGAGTTATAACTAAAGTAGTTTTACCTATAGTTTCTATTTGTCAGTGGAGTTGGAATATCATGACAATCTATAGTTGGGTAGAGAGGATACTGGGAACTATTTGCTGGGAAAAATTAAGGCTTCACAAGGGGGCTGAGGAGTGGTACGTAAATCAAACTGAAGAACAGAATACCAATTATTTATTCTAACCACATGGGTATCCTAAGATTTTCAAGGCATTTGGATAATTGTAAGTAATCATAAGCAAAAAATTAGTATCTGGAAACCACAAACTGAAATACAAAGCCATGCTCATTGGAAACAAACTCTGAATAGACTGACATTGTATCTTTCAATCATTCAACAGAGGATCATTAGAAACCCTGAAAACTATTACAGGCCAATTACTGGGATTACACAAAGCTGGGCAAGTGTCCTGACAGCCAAAATAAAAGTAATAAATGAAACTTCCAGAACAGCAGGCATAAGCTTCTCTTTCTAAATTTCATGTCAATGAATAAAAGCTAGTTCAGAAACTTGCTCCTCACTAAGCTGAGGGCCAGAAGGGATGGCTGGTAACAACACAAGGTTCTCAAGTAAAAAAAACTTAACTCTTTAGCTTTTAAACTAGGCAAGAATGTTTATGCAAATAAACAGACAGAGTTAGTAATCCTGACATAATTTTACTGAACCTCTGCTGGTTCCATTCTGCTAGGTCACTTCCAAGACATTTGAAAACACTCAGACCAGCCTAGAGATGAGACAACATCAGATGCTTTTCAAGGAGGCGGGGGGGAACAAACACCAACAAAACCCCCACAACTCCCATGTATCTGACACCCTTCCGGCACAGCTTCTACCCACATGGAAATTACTAACACAGAGACATCATTTTTACAGATAACCAGGGCTTGTTTCTGATAAGAAAGGGAGCTAATACTGTAACCAAGACTAGGTACTGACAATATACATATATTTGACTATTTTACAGATTTCACTAAATTGATAGTCTTGTTCTTTTGACACCTGCCTGAGATAATCCTTGAAAAATATTATTTTACCTAAGTTCTTGTATTATTTTCAACATCTTTATTGATCACATTGTTTTCCCACACTCTTATCAGCTGAAAATATTAGCCAGCAGTAACACAAAATCCCTAATCTTGAGCAAGAGGAAACACTATTAATGACTGCCTACAGGACCTTGTGAGAGTCTAGACCATATTTTCAGCTACTTTTATGTAAAGAGATTTGACATCCCATACATTATTCTTATTTACTTCTGATTACAAACACATACCTCTTCAATCTCACGGCAGGAATGGCTGCTTTAAACTGCAACTTTAAGCTACAGTGAAAGTTATTTTAACTGCTTTTTTAATATCATCCAATAGCATCAGTCACAGGTAAATTTATGATGGCAATTTTAGAAAAAATGAAAAGCATACTGCCTATATGTTCAGCTGGAATACCAAGTTATTCTTTCAGACAGAAAATTGAAGTTAAGCCTGTTGCTTCGATTAATTAAAAACTATCCAAACTCAAGGAAAGATTATTTCAAAGCTTTTCACAGCAGATGTCTCACCTCTGGCGGAAGCAGGAAGTGAAACATCCTAGTCTCAACAAATGTGGGAGGTGAAAAACCTTACTGAAGTACAGAAAACAAACACACAGCTGATAAGTGATTATATTTTTCATGAAAATCAATACTGGAATAAGTAAAGTAGAAAATGCCCAAGGAAAATGCTTACATAGTCAGTGGCAGCATATTCCTACAAGTTGTTTGCATTAAGATGGCACAAAAAAGCATCAGCTACCACTGATTCTCCATTCATGGTGGATATATCAAGGGTGTATACACTCGGGGTAAGGCTAGATTTCTCTAGAAACCAAACCAAAGCAGGGCCTTAATTTTAGAATCTGAGGCTCAAAGAGTTTAAGCAATCAGACTAGGGACACCCAAAAAACTCTGCAATTCAACTGCAATGTAAGAGAATTTAAACCCATATTGATTTAAAGGATGATTGAAGCTATCAACCATAACAGCTGTACCGCAAGTCTTTTGTTTTTTAACTTGTAAAGCAGTCAAATATCAGTATGCAACACTATTTTTGAGCGCCATACTAATAAGTTAATCCTAAAACACGAGTTTAAATCCTAGCTTTTTGCTTAGTCTAGCCTCACATTTAGTGATCACATCATTTCCCACTGAGTTCATTTCCCATTCAGAGCCTGTTGCTCAGTTACTGGTTTTAACAAATCCATAAGCACGTGAGCTCTCTATCTATACCCCCCCCCCATCTCTCTCAGGCCTCCCCACTTAATGAAGCACATTTCTCACTCAGCTGTCCACAAGCTGGCAAGTAAGCTTAGCTTCAGGAAAATGAATTACACGCGTCCCCAGACACATGTAAATAAAACGAAGAAATTTCAGATTTACAGTGCTGCCTTCAAACCCTCTCCCCCAGCTCAGGGAGGATTAAAAAGGACTTCAAAGAAGCCTGAGTTCCAATTAAAACACTGTGACCACCCCGGGGACGCAAAAATATTCCTCTGATTAGTGAGATGCGCTCTTTGAACTGTTTAGCTAAAAAAAGCTTTCAGAACTTTAAACAAATGCAGTAATTCTCTCTCATACTTTTTTTTTTTTAAGTTTCTAAAACTTAATATTCAAAGTGAAGGACAAATAACATTTCAGACCAAAAGTTTTATGGAAGCCCATTAACACATCAGCTCTAGGCATCTACTAACAAACAGGAGACATACCAAGAGCTAAACATTGCAGTCCCAGTACAAACCAGATGACACAAGTCGTTAGAAGAACCCAAAGAGTGTCACTGTTGCTACGGCCTGACAGGAAGACTGTACAAAATCCCAATCTCATCAGCCCTCAGAACCACTCTCCCTCAAAGGCACATCAATCCCACCTCATTTTGAAATTCTGCTTTCTTTCCTTAACATCCAAATCTCCCAAGCTGCACATATAAAGTGCCTCATATCCAAGTCCTTTGACACACCGTGACAACAAACCAGTTGCCCTCAGCCTTGGCAATAACTACAGATTTAAATAAAAGGCTCTTCCTATGCTTCCCACAAAAAGAAAAAAAACCTCACCCCACCTCCTCAGTCTCTCATTCCCAAAACCAAAGTTGAGTTACATACTCTAGAAGTTTTAACATCAAGAAGAATGATGAATATTAAGAACAAATGCTGGGAAAATAACTGAGTCTTAGAGCATGCCAAAGCAGTCAGAGCTAAGTGGATATAATAAACCTGCCTGTGAAAGCCAAACCCCAATCACCATCATCCATAAATAATGAATAATTCATGTCAGAAGGAAATAGAAGCAGACTTTAAGTCTTGTTCATAGAAAGTGGAACTGCTATAGCGTAATCGCATTAAAGATGTAAACAGTGGCATTTCAGCAATTACTGTTCTCCTTTTGCCAGCTCACTCTCAAAAACCGGTACATCATCTCAGCTGCCTGCATCAAGCGCAGGGTTCAGAGCAGCCAAAAGCAATTATGATTTCCCTGTGTCTTTGCCACGGGCTCCCGTGACTGGGATTAAGATAAGGACTGGATTGGTGTCACAAGCACTTTGACACCATCTTGGCTTCCTGCTATCATCAAGTTTTAGTCACTTTCAATCCCTGAAGCTACTAGGGGAGGCACTAATAAAATTAGATGATAAACTGTTTTACAATTTGAAATGTATTCATAGAGGAGAAAGAGCTACCTATTCCCTCCACTAAAAGAAACAAACATCCCTGTTTCACGCCACTTTTGCATCCTTCCTTGCATGCACATTTATCTTCAAGATCTTCTTTCATCACGCTGTATGATGCGGAATACAGGGTTACCCACAACCAGTTACTTTTTCTTTGGTGAACGGACAGTACAGAACCAACCAGACAACAATAAAGAGTTAAAAACCACCCTTCTAGAAGTCTTCATAACTAGGAGGATCTAGTTGTGAGGAGATGTCCTCCTCCTAGCTCCCCCAGGATCTGTAGCTTCCCGATTCTGCTCATTGCTGGTGTGACTGCAGTTTTGTACACCACATCCACACTTGAGGAAAGGTGCATCAGGTATTCCTAACTACTCAGATTCCACTTGAACTTGACTGGGAAGGTACTGCAAAGCATTTATAACTTAAGTGTAAATGGGCATCCTAGTTCTGCAATAAATATTATATAGCTCTGATGCCAAATGTGTCTACTTTGGACAACAGTTTCAGGGAGCAAGCACAAATGAAAGCCGCAGCCATTAAACCACAAAACCAAATTCAAATCACTGGTATAGAGCTACCTCAGCTAGCTTCTTTCCTCCTAAGCTTGTCAGAATTCTCAAGTTTTCCCATTACGTTACTGAGAAAGTTTTTGATTTACTTCAACCATTTCAGTTCATAACTGGAGCATTTGCCAGGTAAAAGCATTCTCCAATCTTCAGCTGAATCCTCCTTCCTCTGCTG